ATAACAATGAATGGAAAGATGAGGAAAACAAGAGAGCCAGTGAGTGAGAGTGAGAGATGATGATGAGGATAGAAAATGATTCAAATGATGAGGAAGAAGTGAAGTAAACATGAGGAAACATTTGATTTTATTTAAGTGGATCTCATATCAACTTGAGACATTGTCAAGTAAACTTAACTTAACCATCAAGACTAATCGTCATCAAATGATAATCTGATCATCAAGTGATATTGTAAACAATTAAAATTCATTTTCTAATCAATTGTACATTTAATTATCGAAAAAAAAGTTATCGTAGTAATCAAATCCTCATCATCATGTATCTCACGTCAATGTAAATATTGTTGTTGTGTCTCATCAACTAATTGGATTAATAATAACAATCATCATCATCATAATCACCGTAATCGTAAATCAAATCATAAATTTAACAAACACAACAATGGATTTAATAAATTTGTTAATCATAAATCATCACAATCTTCATCTTCATCATCGTTATCATTATGGTTAACATCATTAACCAAACATATTCAATTTAGTGTTGGTGAAATTTTAATCAAAATTAAATCTTCATTAAAATTAACTGGATCAACTATTGATGATAATAATCAACGAAAACAACATTATTGTAACAGTTTAACCAAAATTTATCTCATCATCATTTTAATCACTTTCAGTGTTTATGCTAATTCAATTCCTGGTGATTTCGTTCATGATGATATTGAGGCGATTGTCCGAAACCCGGATGTAATTGGAACCAACAATTGGTCAGCAATTTGGTTAAATGATTTCTGGGGTCGCCCAATGTCCGATCCCTTGAGCCATAAATCATATCGACCCTTGACCATCCTAACATTCAGGTAAGACAACAATCAGTTGAACAATTAAATCTAATCCTTCAAAACAAATTAATCCGACAACTCTTATTGATTAAAACCCTTTTCCTTAATTGTCATTTGTTTTTATTGTTCATCATCAATTGTTTATCAATGTAACAGTTTAACATTTTGATTGTGATGGTTTGAAAATAATAAATCTTAACTACTAATTGGTTTAATCAATTAAAATATGTTTTAAATTTGTTGATTGTTAACAATTAACTACTAATCCCAATTATCCAATGGATAATCAATATAAATGATTTTCAATACAATCACTTGGGTAAAGGAAAACAATTAATCAGATGATTAAATGTATTGATTGTGAATGATTATCTTGAGTTTGATTATTATTATCATCTTGATCTTGTTATTAATGAAGATGATTAATCAAAATTGATTTGAATTGTTGTGAAACAAAAATGTCAAATTGATTAATGAAAGTTAATTGTCAATATTGATGAAACTTTTTGTTTTCTTATTTCCCAAGTGAGAGATATGATCATTTTCTTGATCGTCAACAATTAGGTTCAAACTGACAACAATTAATTGTAACAATTAACCAAATAACACATACACACACACTCATTCAGATGAAATGATTCAGTTAATCATACATAACAATTGATTAACTAATTACATTAATCAATTAAAGTGAACCGATGAAAGTAACAAAAAGTAATCAAGTTAAAAGAAGCAAAAAAAAAACTCAATCAACATTTTTTTTTGCTGGTTTACTTTCATCGGGAAAATTAAACTACCACTAATTGTTACGCTAATTTCTAGTTAATCAATTAGTTGATTTAATTAATCAAATTAACCATTGGCAAAAAAAAGAAGTAAAAGTGATTAAACTAATTACAATTGACTTTTCCAAGTGATTAACACCAAGGAAAGAAAATGTAACTTTGAGAGTAACAAAGTTTTCGTTTGAAATTGAAAATCTTATTGGTAGATGAATGGGAAATTCTGATGATTGGAGATTCTTGAAACTTGAAATGGTATCGGAAATGATTCACCATGAAGAGGCTGAGGTGGAAATCCATGTATATGAGAAAATGTAATAATAATTCAATGGGAGGAAAAGGATGGAAGGTGGAAAAAAGAGAAAAAGTTGACGACAAGATGAATAATGCATCGGGTGGAAATTCGAGATTCATGTGGAAAAGTTTTATTCTTCTGAGAAACAGAATTTCGTCTGGAAATGATGATGAATTCTCTTGGAATGATACTTATGAAAGGAGAGAAAGAGAGATTGAAAATTTTGTTCTAAAAGAGAGAGAAAGAGAGAGAGGGAGAGAGGAAGAGAACAACTTGACAATAATCATAATACATAATGATGAATGAGAATTCACATGAGATAAATTCAGGGGAAATTCAGAGTGTGTTGAGACAACATGGAGAAACATAATGACAGTGATAACATTTCATGAGAGGTTTTGTTTTGGTTGTAGAAAGAAAGTAAATTTGTAAATAGAGAAGAGAGAAAATAATTTTCGAAAGGAGAGAAAACGAAAAATTTTCATTCGAATCAATAATGACAATAACCATGAAACTCATGGGGTAGAAAAAGACAGACAGATAGAAAGAGAAAAGTAATAATTATAATCATTGTGGAGGATATTATGAAATTCATGGTATTCAAAGATTACAGTTCAAGGTTAACTTTGAGTTACCAGAATTGAGATAAACAGTATTACTTTTCAGGGTGAACATGATAATTACTCATTGAGCTTGAATGATGATGATAATAATGTTAATGATGACAATATGTAATTGGTTCTGGTTAATTGTTGTTACTCATTCATTAATCAGAATCTTAATCTGTCTTCAGGATATTCCCTTTTCCATTTGGAGAGAACAGAAAAAAAGTAAGAGAAAATCACAGAATTATCTTCAATATTCATCTTCCATATCAGCTATTATCTCTCTCTCTCTCTCTCTCTCTGCTTTTATCATTTCTCTTTATCTTCCTTTTCTTTTGGTCAATTACCTTGAACATTTTTCATCATCATCAGTTGCTCATCCTCATTGTTTCCAATGTTAAAAGCAAAGGGAAAGATGAGGAAGAGAAAAAGAGAAGAGAGAAAAAAACTTGATGAACATTATCATCATCATCATCATCTCCCACTTCATCCTTTAGTTGTTTTCATCATCTCATTTATCCCAATAACTGCAATGATTGATAACCTAATAAGTGATCAAGTGATATATTAAAAAAAATCACATATTCCAATGAAAACAAAGATGAAAAAAGTTCAGAGATTTAGATAATGATGATTAACAGATTTATGGTGATGACACTGAATATGAGTCATGATGATGATGGTGATAAAATTTTCCCGCTTCTCTATGATAAGATAATGACATACTTTCTCTTTCTCTTTCTCTCATCACGATTATCATCTCTTCATCATTCTCAACATCATTATCATCTTACATGGTGAACTTTTTGTTCATTCCTCTTGATTGTTGCATATTATTCAATCATCAGATGAGATAAATCAGTTAAGAGAATCAACTTTATCTTCATCATTATCATCTCGCTCTCTCTCTTTCAACATCTTGACTCTAAATTTTTTATCATCATCATCTTAACCCACCATCCACCTTCCACCTTCCACTTTCCTCTTCTCCTCATCCTAGAAACCATTGTATTCATTTTATTTGAATTTAGATGAAATGAGAAAAAAATCCTCGAATCATCTTAACAATTTACTCTCGACTTTAATTAACTTTCACCTTTTATTATGTAGCCCAAAGTTAATTGAAAAAAACCAATTTTCATACAAATTAAACTCTCCACCTTATGAGTGAACAATTTAATTGAAACAATTAAGAAACAATTTAAATAATCATCAAGAGAAACAAATCAGAAATCCTTTAAATCCAATTTGATTCAGAAAATCAGCCAACTAAATGAAATAAGTTTCTCTCTCTTTTTTAGTATCAATTGAGTTTAAAAAAGTAAAACTTTTGACCCAATTTATAAATTGTGAGAATTTAATTTGATTGTTGATGATTAAAGATGAAGGATGATCAGGGAAAGGTGAATAAAAGTAAATGTTGGTGAAATATTTTGTTAACTTTTTCTTTTTCTTTCCAAAATAGAATCTTTGATTCAATGAGGGTTTCATATTATTCCAACTGAATAGACTAGACTTTTTTGTCAGAACTTTTTTCTTCTTTTTCTTTTCCAATTCTCTGTCCCATCTCCACATATAAGTAACCAGATTTTCATTCGCCATGTTTTCCCACCATCATTTTTACAATTCTTACGCCTAACAAATTGAGTTTCAATTGAAAGTTCGTACATGAAAAGTTATACAACTTATCGACTACAACAACAACAACAACAACAACAACTTGAGTCTCACTTTCAATCACCTTTTATCATCTGTTTTTTTCATCTTCAAACTAACATGATGATAATGATAACTGGAAATAGAGTAAAAAATTCAATCTTTTTTCCTGTGAATTCAATGAACCACGAATAGTAAACTTATGATTACTAAAGTGATTCAAATGTTTTACATGGAATCCAAAGGAGGAAATTGCTATCAGAATGAAATCTTTCAGAACTTTCTTAGGGAAAAGTTCACTTTTCGATATAATTCAAAATAATTTCCAACTTTTTTACTTCTTCCATTTCAATGATGACATTTTCCAACCTCATAATCATCAACATTAAGGACACACACACAGAGATTCACTTTAAAAATGAAATTTTGGAATCATGAATTGATAGAAATATCAGATTCAATTTGAAAGACGTAAAATTTCATGTAAATCATTTGAATATAATTCAAAATCATGATTGAAATTGTAACTCAATCCAAATGAATATTCAAAACATCGAGCAGATTTTAAGTTTACTCTTGAATAAATTACAGAGATAAAACCAATTGAATTCATTAATCATGATTAATTGAATGGATTATCACCAAGGGTAATTAACTTTAATCGTGATTAAGTGAAAACTTTCATTGGAAAAAATTTCAAACTACAGGGCATTTCACCAAATTTCCAACAAGTTTTTCTTGAATAACTTTTTTGTTTTTGAGTGTTCAGACTCGAGTTATGGTAGTTTAGGCCATACTCCGTTGTCATATTAAAATATCAAGGTCATTCCGGTCATTTTGTTAGGATACAGTTTCAAGGTCATTTGATGATCACAGTCGATTCAAATTTAAAAAACCAATATGAACCTAAATCACAAATCATCATCATCACCCAGATTCCCATGATGGAGTCCCTATCATGGATTCATATGAAAAAGATAATATAATTTAAACTCTCAATGTAATAACAATAAGATGAGTCACTAAATTTGTCAACAATAAAGACAAACAATCAATTTGAAATTAACACCTTTGTTGTTCAACAAAGTGGCTCGTTAATTTAGTTAGTAAATTGCTGAGTTAATCTGATTTCTTAAAGCGTGTGAATTAGTTTTGAATTGTTTCAATTTCATGGTGGGTGAAGGATGAAGATGAGGCAAAGTAAGAAAAAAAACTTCCTCAACAATTTAATCGGTTTTTTTACTTCAAATTGGAAGATAAAAGTTTCCAAACTCATCATCATCAAGATCATTATCTCAACCTCATCAAGACACAGTAACAAGAACATGAGATAATTTACCCTGAAAATCCAATTCGAATAGGAGATTATCATTTAGAGAGAGAAAAAAAACGAAAAAATTTGTTCGAAGAATAAGAAAGTTCTAACCCTCAGTCGAAATAATTCCAATTCATTATTTGAAGAATAAAAAAAAAATACTTACCTTCTTTTTCCATGGTGCATGAGAAAGAGAAGGAGGAACATTCGGATTAGCATGAATCAATTTTTTTCGAGTTCGAGTTCAAGTTCGATATATTATTTTCAATTCGAAACATTTATTTTCTTTTTTTTCTCTCTATTTTCTTATTCTTTTTTTATTTCTTATTCCTTACCATTCATCTCATTGAGTTCGAACTTTTCTC